TATATATTAATTTGTAGGGTATAAAATGAGCTGTATGTGCAGAGAAGCTGCATTAATATAGGTAGCGGTGAGTGGATTAATTAGAGGGGATGGGCATGGTGGCAAGGAGCATTAGCAGTAGCAAATTGCCAAGCTTCAGGCTGAGGCGGGGAGCACCGAGGTCGCCGAGCATGAAATCAACCCCCATGATCTCAAGCACCGTGGAAGCCGCCGATGATGTAGAAGAAGAGAATTCCTTGGACCCGGCCGGCGGATCATCAGAGAAGCAGCAGGTGCTAGGCCGGAAGATCATGATCGTCGTAGACTCGAGCAGAGGGTCAAAAGTTGCATTGCAGTGGGCGCTAACACACACCGCACAGAGCCAAGACACCATTCTCCTCCTCAACGTCGTCAAGCCCTCCTCTTCATCCTCCTCCGCATCCAACATTAACAATTATGTCTCCCATGGCCCCGATGGAGCGGAGATGACTGACCCCGGAAGCTACGATCTCCTCTGTGCCATGAAGAGGATTTCCCAGCAGAAGAAATCCGAGGCACGCGCCCATGCATGCATTAATTTATAATAATCAATGCATTCATGTTAAGATTTCTCAAATTTAGTTTAACAATTGCAGGTGAAAGTGGAGATATGCTTGGTGGAGGGGAAGGAGAAGGGACCGGTAATCGTGGAGGCGGCAAAGAAACAAGGAGCAGCGCTTTTGGTGCTAGCGAGCCGGAAGAGGAGGCCTATGATGATCACCATGTGGAGGCTGCTGATGGCGTGGCGTAGCCGTGGCAGAAGTAGCAGATCAGCCGTGGTGGATTACTGTATAAAGAATGCCAGTTGCATGGCTGTGGGAGTGAGAAGGCGAGGGAGGAGGGCTGGTGGGGGTTACTTGATTACAACTAGGAAGCACAAGGATTTCTGGCTTCTCGCTTGATCCATCATATTAATTAACTACTACTTCTACTGCAATTATCTCTTATAAGTTATAATGCATGTTCATTTGTTTGATACTGCTAGCTTCCATTGTCTTTTTATAAATTTACAATACTGCCATGGTTAAATTGGTTGATAATGAGAGATTCATGTCTAATTAATTAATAAATTAATAATGTTCACTTTTACTTATTTAAAAGCAATTTTTTATATTTTCTTACCATTTTCAATACGACAGCCATGGAATGGGTAACATGAACTCGGCATCCAAGACACGGTCAATAACCATATTCCATTAATTGACATAATATAATGTAGCAAGTAATTAATGATACAGTTGTTCAAAAATTCTTAACATGAAATGCTTGCAAACGAATATATAACAGGGAAGGGATTGAAAAGTATATGGTTTGTGCGCGTAAAAAGGCCGATTGTCTCATTCATCAGTCTTTGAGAAGAAATTATTGAGAGTCGGGAAGACTTGAGGTTTGCGCTCGCTGAGAAACTTGCGAAAGCCATGTTGGCTGTACCTGTAGCCTTCCTCTGCATTCTCCAAAACTGCTGAGGCTCGGTTGCTTTTATTAATTCTGCATGCAACGTACACACATTTGCAAACTAATCAAATCTTCTTCATGGAAAGGCAAATTTAGATCGAGTCTAGATTTGATCATGCATGCATGAATAAAATATATACATTAATTACCTCACTTCAGGATTCATGAGGACGTTCCTGGTGAGCTGAAAGACGCACAAACTTGCCACAAAGGTCATGGCTGCCAACAGCGGGTAAACCTGCATGGCACCCCAGAACATGCGCTAGCTATCACAATTAATGACAATACAAAAAAGTACGTCACAGAAGGAATTGAAAGAGATCACACAAATAAACAAAATTAACCAACCTCTGGTTTCATCCAACGAGCCATTTGATCACGGGTTTATTTGATGGGAACCAAATTCTTCGATAGGATTTAATTGGGCGCATGCTCTGCATGTTTCTGTATCTTATTTTATAGTGGGGGCAAACGAATAGATTATAACAACTTCCTTCATGATCATCCTCCATTTGAGGAGTTAAAACCGTAATTCCTGTGGGCGGGATGGAGCTGCGCCTTTGAACAACAACTGTTTGGGTCAAAACCTGGACCTTTGCCTATTGTTTCCACTCCCCTATTCATCACGTGCAGCCCCCGGTATTCCCATATATTTTATTCGCTAAGTTATCTATACGGCCGTTGACTTAGTTTGTTGTATTATTAATTAATTGCATGCATTTGGAAGATACTTTCTTCCGCATAATTATCTTGTTTGCGTTTGTGGCCTGCGGGACTTTTATTTATTTATTTTTAGCTATGACATTACGTATTCAAATATTGAGAACTTCGGATTAAGACAATGCCTTGCTTTTCTTTCTCATAAAAGTCTATATTAAACCTTGTTACATATGATAGAATATAAGGGAGGACGGGCATGCATGCTTTAGATGCATATGCAGCAAACATATTGAGCCTATATGTTATTTATAGAAACAATGCTATATCATTGCCATAAGGACCTTCTATTGATTATTCATGAGTTCCAATTGTCAAAATAAAAAATAATTGTATTAAACCAAATAAATTGAACGAACTGTCCAATTAAATAATATCCAAAGCCAATAATTTGCTTAACATACAAACAAACATAAGAAATAACCCCTTACTCATCCTCCTCGGTTCTCTCCTCGTCCTCATCTTGAACTAGCCGCTTCCCTTTCTTCAGTTCAGAACGCAGCACCGCTTCGATTTCAGCTTTCATCTTCTGCTCCATTTTAGATCTCAAGGTGGCTAGATGGGTAGAAACCTAAGCAAAAACATCAACAACAACCTAGTGATACATCTCTTCTTCCTGTGCAGTCGAAGTAGATACACCAGATGTGTTAGAGGTTAGACTTGCATCATAGGCCGATGCCTAACAAGTAGACCCTGCCCTTCTTCTTGCCACCAATAGACTCCCTCTAAAGGTTGTACTCGAAAGGATCCTGAGGTATGTCGAACCACAACTCGACTGTTGGGATCGTCTCTCCTTGAGACTTTGTAATGCCTCCAACAAAAATATGATTAATGAAAGCTTGAGACTAAATAAACTTTGATAGTTATCAAAATATTATACTAATTAATCTTGGGAATTACTTAGGTCACTTGGGATGTATTGTTCACCCTGGACTAATTTAGCTGCTGCCTGTGGGTGTGCTCGTGTAACTCTGCAGCAGTTAGCTCTCGTCCTTTCTTTAGAGCCTATAAGTGTAATGGAATAGTTAGCATACATTTAATATAAAATAATATTTAATGCACAAAATAAGTCTTATCAGCCTCCTCTTGTACTCCATATGTGGGAGTGCTCCACTAGTGTACTTCAAGGCTCCAATGCCACTATAATCAAAGTGGCAATTCTGCTTCACATACTCACTCTTCTTCCGATACTCAAAAGAGTCACAAGCCCTAAGCAGGGATCCTCATCAAGCCACAAGGGGCGCTCACATGCATGACGTATTTCACCAAACTGGTTGCGAAGATGATAGTTTGCCTTGTACTCGAAGTTCCTCCGAATGTGTGTCTCCTCTTTAGAGGACCAGGACCACTGTTTATGTAAATTGGATTAAAAATTATTAGTCATAAAAAAAATAATTGAAATTTTATGTGTTCAGGTTTTACCTTAAACTCCCCAAACCACATATCCTAAATTGCCATCGCGATCTACCTCCAGGATAAGTATGGGTAATTGTACTTGCTCTGAATCATGTCTCTGATGGAATGGATGGCCTGTCTGAGTGAAGTAAGTCTAAGAATAACATATGATTAATTTTTTATTAAATCAAAAAATAGAAAACAATGTGTTTCCCTTTGCTTAAAGCTGATGTCGGCTGCTTGAAGTAGAGGGTGCATCAATAATGGTCGTGGTCGCAGTTGATGGCGGTGGTGGTGTCCTGACTGGTGGTGGTAGTGGTGTCGTGGTTGGTGATTATAGTGGTTTCGTGGTTGGTGATGGTAGTGGTGTTGTGGTCACAACTGGTGGAGGTGCTAGTATCTGTTAGAAATTCATGTTTGAACTTTATAACACAAATTCACTGAAGCTGAAAACACAAAAGTGCAACGTAAAAACAAAATAAAACCGTAAAGTGTAATCTACACGTGCACCATTAAAACTAAAAACACAAAAGTAAGTAGTTTTGGATTAACTTACACATCTTAGTTAACCTTCTTTGATGAGTTCGTTGAGGATGTAGTTAAAATTACTTTGTCCAAATCATCATTGGAATCATGCTCATAGACATGAATTTCTACGTGTTTTCTAGTAGCATCCACTAAATTGAGATTTTCATTGATTGTATCAATTGGAGTTCATGAATTTGTAATTTATTTTTCTTGATGAGCGGGGTCAATTGAATTCTGAATATTAATAGTCGTTTCAGGTTTACCGTCTATGACTACTGGCACTTAACTTTGTCTCTTATTCTATGAGAATATGAAAGATAAAATACCCAACTTGCTTGTCTTGCTAAAGTGAACGGATCAAATTTATCACATATCATGTTCACCTTCACTTCTATGATATTACCAAATGGAACTTAAATACTTTCTCAAACGAAGCTTTCGTCTGAAATACCATTGCTTGCAAACAACAACCATCAGAGCTAAGGATGTAACCGAAAATAAGAAGCAAATGACTTATTGCTCAAATATTTGCTTATATAATGTTCCATTGAAATTAGTTTTAATATTTTTTCTGGTGAAACTTTGAATATATTGATTTAAGAAATTAAGCAGCCAATATGATTTTGTAATTTTTTTTACTTTCTATAGGATATACGAGATCATTTTTTTGTGCAAAAAATACGTCGACATTGTTGATTTGAGGAGCATGTATAACCTTAGCGGACCGAAACATAGAGCCCTTGCTTATTTATTTATTTTTTTAATGCATAGAGGCCCTTTGAAGTTTTATGCAAAGCATCGATCTCCTTCTGAGGCGCACTTTCAGGCTCGCTTGATCACTTCTTCGCGCGCTCGGTCATGAACCTCCAAGTACAGAAAAACACACTTTACGTAGGTAAGGTGTTCGACTAATTGCCGAAGCATTTTCTCCACCTTTGTTTAGAGTTTCTTCTTTTGGTTCGATCGAACTAACTAGGGTTTTTGGCGGTGGTGCTGTTGCGGTTAAGGTGGGTTGGCGGAGGAGGTGAATGAGGTGATTCTGCACGCGGCGTTCATCCCCTTCGGTGACATTAAGGACGTGAAGACGCCGCTTGATCAGGCAACTCAGAAGCACCGGTCTTTTGGTTTTGTAACCTTCCTGGAGCGTGAGGATGCCGTCGCCGCAATGGACAACATGGACGGTGCCGAGCTTTATGGTCGCGTCCTCACCGTCAACTACGCCCTACCTGAGCGCATCAAGGGAGGCGAGCAAGGGTGGGCCGCGCAACCCAGTAAGTCCCCTATCCCATTTCTTTTCACGGCATATCTAAATCTCGTTGAAATTGTTTATATTTATGTATATCCTTCTTTGAAATGTGCTAAAGCTACAGTCTTTCTTCAAACCTGGAAGACTCTCCTCCGAGTATGGAATGTAGCTTGATTAGTGAGGGATGGTGCAATTTCTGCGTTTGTTTCTTGTTTAAATGTTTATTTATATCCTTGCATCGTGTGCATAAAACTTAGATTTTATCCATATTATTGGATTTAATTCATCCATGCTGGAATCTTATTGACAAGAATGACTAAAAAAACAAAAGAAAAGAGGAGAGAGAAAGATTATTTAGAGAGAGAATATACAGGCTTTCTCTAGATTGCCTGATATTATAAGATTGATGCAAATGATTCAAATATCCCAAACTCAGCTTCTCACCTCCTATTTACAAGCTTAGTTTGAGCCAGGCAAAATGATATAGAAATGTCTACATTTAAACAATACTAGTAGAATTGTATATAGCAAAGTTTTGCAAATGCTTACTATTAAATTAATGAACTTAACTAACCTATATCTTTCATATTACATCAAGATTTGTTATTAATTTTAGAATATAGGAAGATTTCATGTGAATTCACTATTAATGTTGCCTGCATTTGTCGAGTTCTTGTACTTTCACTAGCTAGTAGCTTTGATGAGTTGGGCGAATAGGCTTTATGACTTTGAACGACTTTGTATGGTTAACATTTAGTCTGTGTACACTTGTTTGAATAACTTTTGTCAACTTGAAGTCGATGGCGAGTTAGATGAGCATTCAATCTACTTTTCTGAATTCATCATTCCTTTTAACCAACTAATCTTGAAACTGCTCTATTTTGATCTACGGGGCCAGCCAAATTTGGCCAAGCGATTTTGGGTGTAGATTTAGTTTCCTTTTTTTATTTATTAATTTTTTAAGAAATTCATAAAAGAATAAGATAATTAAATATTTAAGTTTTATGTACTCAAAATCTCTCTTAAAATTAACTTACAATTTTCGGAAGAATATTTTTAATACAAGCAAGAAAAATTTATTTGTGATTTGGTGTTACAGTACTTGTAGAGAACTAAATGCTCTTGTTTATTAAAGTATGTGCTCATTATTGTAAATTCATAAGCTATTGTCAAATCAAGCATAATTTTTTCCATTGCATTTCAATCTCTTATTTCATAAGCACCATGAATTCTCTTATAGTTCATCTTAGTAATCCTATATGCTCTTTTAATATTCCTCTAGTAAATATCTATCCTTAACAACATTAACACTATAGCACTTATTCCAAATCTTCCTAGAATCATTTTTAAACTATCTTTTAATGCAACTTGAGGAGCATACCGATTGACTATATTCATGATGTCATACTTGATATTTATCCTCATAACAAGCACCTTATTATTTACCCTATTTGCCTTGATAATTTATTTTTCAACTATTTATCCATCTCTATTCAAAACTTTTTATTAACCATTCTGATATAGAATAACTTTAAACAATGCCCGTACCTTTGTAATTTTTTTTTAGAGTTTGGTTTCTTGTAAATAGGTAATATTTATTCTTTTAGTTATTGTGCACGTCAAATATATTGTCTTCTCATTTTAAGTCTCCAAATTTAATGTAGTAAAGCAAATTTTAGATTTATATCCAATCAATCCTTATTTACTTTTCACGTAACCAAGTTAGGTTATGACGTGTCATGAAAAGGTGACATCATAGTTCTTAAGGTTTGTAGTTACTTATCTGGTTTAAAGCTTATTTGTATTTCATAGAAGTTACAATTTTGTGTAAATTGTATTAATTGGAATTTGACTACCTATTCTAAGAGTATAATTTAGTTGATTTGCTCAAGTCACGCCTAACTTGACCTCTACTCGAGCAGTAAGCTTGAACTCAAAATTGAGCTTATGTCAAGCCTACCAACAAACCTTAAACCAAAATCTCATTGAGGAATTTGAGCTCAATAAACACCTATTATGTTGGACCAAGCTGTCAAGTAGGTTTTTGTCAATGAGAAAGAGTGGGATGATAAGATGATAGAGATCTACCTCAGTTGAGGGATTGTGGTTTTGCGATGACATTGATGCAACTACTTTATTGGCAGTGGTATTGAATTGACAAATAAAACGCGCTGCAACCATTAAATGGAGGTTGAAAATCAACAGAGAAGTTGACATAGGGAAAGGAAACCATTGTTGCTTGAAAGTTGGAGTAGATGAGGAAGAGGTAGCTACAAGTTGTGTGAGAGAACAAGAGACAGTGCTAGTTATTTATTTATTTATTTTTTTCGGAACAAGTCCTTATACAATTAATATTTATGAGTATAGATTGTATAATTTGTTTGTATACATGAGTTGGCTCAATGAACCAACTAATCGAGCTATAAGTAGCTTGAACTCAAGCTCATTTATGTCTAAAGCACAGACCGTTGCTCTAGCTCAATTTGCCAACTTATTAATCATGGCTTATAAGACCATTAAGGAGTTGGCCTGGCTCATTTACACACCTGGATTATCCTAGTTATCTTTTGTTCCCTTATATAAATATAAATATAAATAAATAAATAAATAAATATATATATATATATATATATATATAGAGAGAGAGAGAGGTTGGAGTAGTCAAGGAATTATTTATTGCTTAATGCTTGAGGTACATAAAAACACTATTTTTGTTTGTTGAATTGATTAATTTGAAAATTTCTAACATGTCAATTCTTAAAATTTATAACTATGCTTTCAAAAGAATGAATATGATGCGCATCATTACGGACTTGCTTTAATTGAATCTTGTAAAGTTAAAGATGAGAGAGAATCATGATGCCCATACCTAGTGAGAGTTGATTAGTCAGTATTGGGAGAAAAAAAGGCAAAATTGTTGCCAGAGTGTGGTATGGAGTGACTTTTATCTTGGGCTGTCAAAAAAGCTCGTTGTTCGCTAAAAGTTCGTGTTCGAATCGTTATTTTTCGAAATATAAAATAATTTAAAATAATTATATATAAAAATATTATAATATTTAAAAAAATTAAATTTTATAAATTATAATATATAATAAATTAATAATAATAATATATTAGTAATATACTAATATAAAAATTATATATTTATATATATTAATGTTAGGGATGTCAAACTGGCTCGTTGTTCGTGAACAGCTCGTGTTCGACTCGTGATCGGCTTGTTCGTTAAACGAACACGAACAACGGCTTCACGAACAATTTCGAACACGAGCTTATTTCAAACAAACTAAATTTCAAACGAACCGAACACGAACACAAGCTCTGTTCGTTCGTGTTCGGTTCATCTACACCCCTACTTTTATCATAACTTTGAAATCCAATTGGGTCTGAGATTAACAAATAGTGTCTCACTTTTGAAAATAAGATATGAAAATGGCCAAATAAATATATAAAATGTATCTATTGATAGTATGTAAGTGTTTCAGATATGGGATGACTAGGGATCCCTTCCAGGCACCTATTGAGTGGATCAGGTCACTATGAGGGTGTGATTGGTATTCAGATTCTATAAATGGATTGTTTTTTTACTTGTATAATCATTAAATTGGTTGGGATTTTTATGTTGGCTGGGGTCAAAGCCTTACCCTTTCTCAGTCATGTAGTTTTTATGCTATGCTTTTCTGTTAGATCTAAAATTCTTTGTATAAATCCCTTTGCGTGGCATTTATGTGCACTTTAACATGAGGTTATACATTCCTTATTTTCTGATTTTGTGGCTTTGTTTGGATTGAAGGAAAGTGAAATAAATGAAATTTAAGACCTAATTATGAATCTACAACCATTCTTTCATGTTTTTCAGTCCCTTTTTCATTTTTTTTCAGTCAAATTCCTTGCATCCAGACACAACCCAGTAATTTGTTAAAAAGCACAACTGTGTTTTCTCTAGCGGTAAACTTGGGTTATTTTGTTAAATTAATGGTTTTAGGAGAAAAAAAATCATATATTGAAGTACTCAAGCAACAAATATCTATTTGGTGGTTTCTTTGTGCATTAAGAGTATTAAACCATTCTAATGGTACTAGTGGGCTAGTGCTATGTTGTGGATTGAGTGATATTTGGGATTGTTGACCTCATTTTTGGTCGAGGTCTAGTCTCTCCTTTTTAATAGCCTAGAGTTTAACCGTAGGACTTTCCTGTCGACTATTCCTAGAAAACTAGAAGAAGGAGCCCTCTCCGTTAGAAATTCTAAGCTTTTCTTCGCTCGAGTTGAAGTTCCGCATAGTAGTTTTGATCTCTAGCACTTAGTAGGTGGGGCTACTGTGAGGAAGCTCAAGGAGGATCCCTATAGGACTGTTGTCATTAGGATTGACTGTATGCGTTGACCTGACACCGTCGCACTCTGCACCGTCCTGTTTAATTGAGCTCGCACCGAGATTTTGACAGGAATCGAATCGCGACGCATTTTTGGTCTGATCGTCGACGAGTTTGCTTAAACGACTCCGGATGACGAAACGGATTGCACCGACGTGTTCGGAACGTCTATTTTGCTTAGGGGAGACGTTCGTTTCACTGCGATGACGCGTCTGGGGAAAGATGCATAATTTAGGTGTAATAATAATAATAATAATATTTTTATTATTACTATTATTATTTATTATAACCTAAATCTATTTCACCCCCTCCCCGTTTCCTTTTCTCGAATCCGAACCCGTGGGCCTCAGCCCTAATTCCGTTCGTTCGCTCGCCTGGCCCGACCCGCGTTCATTCTGCATTGTTGGAATCTCATTCCCGTGCTCGCCTTTTGCACGCGAGACAATCTCGCAGACGACCCATCCCTTATCTTTGCCGTAAATCCTATCTTCTGAGAGGATCTTACCCTCTGCCTCTCGAGCCGCTCGCATGGAGCGTCTGCTGTCTGCTCCGCTCGCCTACTCGAGCCATATACGATCCTTTGAGCGTTCCTTCTCTTTCTTTCGTCTATATTAAGCTTTATTCAGTGCATTTCAAAAGGCCGAAAATCTCTGA